ATAGTAGTCGAGATAGAGATATCTATACTACTATATAGTGTATCAGTTTGAATTCAAACATTGAAATGCATATCCAGCCGTTCATTGGGGTCCATCCGACGGTCAAAAGTGCTTGGATTCGCAGCTACAATAGCGCTGAATGTCATCTGGATCGTTCCAGAGGCAGCCATGAAGTAGCATAGAGTCAAAACTATCTGGGTCGTTCTAGAACCAACCCACTGCATGTCTGCAGCAGGTTGGAACTAACTGAGTTTCCAGAGACCAGATTCCACACTCCTCGCAGCCCCCTGGAGCAGCACAAAATATTTCAACAAAGTAGACTCGGGCAGCGGTACATGTGGTTGATAGGTAGGTTGCTTCAGTACTACTTAGTCTGACAAGCGGTAAAAGTAAGACGAAGAAATATATACAAGTAAACAGATTGAACCAGTGCTGTTTTGGGTGGAAAGCTGTAGCAAGAAAAAGAGTGCACCACCCACATATATGACGTCACTGATTTGGTGTGCACTTTTGGATCAAAAGTTGTAGCAAATGTTACATTAAAACATAGCAATAGGTACCCAAATTTATGTATACTACACATTCTTTGCATGTGATAGTTATTGAGTATATGAACATGAGAAGCTTTCTTATTTAAATTATAGGCATTTGGTTCCTGCTTCTGTACGCGCACAACTTTCATTTGTCTGGAATTATTTTTTATAGGATTTCTCAAAGCATACCATGTAGTGTTTTCTTCGGCCCAAGTCAACCCACATTGTTAAGATGCGCATTGCGCGTGCATACATACTAGTATGTGGATGGAGACTTGGAGAGAGTACTTCTTTTGATAAAAGCACTACATCATCTTTTGCATGAATGTGGAGCGAAAAACACGGTTGATTTACTCAACGTGAGCTAGCGCTCAGTTCTCAATGTGGAGAGAGAATATGCATTTGCACAAAAACAAAAAGGTTGGAGGTGTGAATGTGTATATCACCTCCTGTACGACGGTAGGAGGCCACGTTACTGTACATATATATTGATCAACACAAAGTCAGAGACATTTAGTAAGTTCGACCCTGCTACAGGACAGATATGACACTCGGAGCATATCGGCGAGACGAGGCGCTTAAGATTCTAACAACCTAACGTATACAAGTTTCTTTAGGGATTACTGAAATATATACAAGTTACTTTAATGTGGTCTCATGAAAGATGGGACTTCTCTAAGCAACAGTGTCTCCGTCGTCATCACAAAGGTTTCATCTTCGTGCGTTCTTCTTTATCAACACCTCTGGTTTGGGGCATCGCCCCCGCACCCCCCGCGTTGCCCCCGCTCGGGCGACTCGGGCGATATCGCAACCCTAGCCGCCGGGGGCTCCCCGTCCTTCCATCCCTCCCGACGCCAGCGTCGAAGGACACCGCCGGCCTATAGCCCGGGGGC